TACGAGTAAATTGTGACAGTATAGTACACTAGATATGGTACTAAACGACGGATTATGCAGTGGTGATAGTTGATGAATTAATTTGTACACTGAATCTACTATATACATTAAGTATATTTTACATTGAACATTTACTATAATTATAGACTTATATAAACCAATAAATTGTGGTGTAGCGTACGAGTATATTGTGACAGTATAGTACAGTGGTGATGGTACTAAACGACGGATTATGCAGTGGTGATAGTTGATGAATTAATTTGCACACTGAATCTACTATGTACATTAAGTATATTTTACATTGAACATTTACTATAATTATAGGCTTATATAAACCAATAAATTGTGGTGTAGCGTACGAGTATATTGTGACAGTATAGTACAGTGGTGATAGTACTAAACGACGGATTATACAGTGATGATAGTTGATGAATTAATTTGAAAACAGTATCTAAATTAAATGTTTACTTGTGAGGTTATATTGTTATTTTAAAAATGCAAGTATGCGATAGTTATTACCAATAAATAATGATATAGTAACGGTGACAAATACAGTGTTAGTGGTGACAGTTCTAAACGTCAAATTATATAGTGGTGATAGTTGATGAATTTGTACACAGTATGTACACTGTGTACTGAGATCTTAAGGATGCAAGGTAAACAATAGCTTACTATGTTAATAAAATTACAGAATACTCGTTCATTTGTAAGTGCAAAGGTTTTGGATTTTAAACAGTGGCGTAAAGTAGATAATATAGTGATGATAGTTGATGAATTTGTACACAACATCTACAATGGCTGTGTACTAGTGTGTACTTCGGTTTTCAACCAACTTCAAAGTGTTTATATATTTTTTATGTTTGTAACCTCTTAACTCCGTCAATTGTAAACGGATTTTTTTTTTTATCTGAAAAATGCTTGTACAGATTGGTCCCATGGAATTTTTATCGAATTCGGTTCAGTAATTTAGGTTTGTAAATTAAAATAACTGTTTTTTCCACGATTGAAGTGGTTTTTTTTTTTTAATGTCTTATTAAATACTTATATGAGTTTGTTGTTAATTGACTCCAGTTTTAATGGCGACTTAAATAGTAAACGATTTATATTATTACGAGAATAATAGTGATAACATTCAAGTCTTTGTTTTATTGTTAGTGACCGACATTTTCATTTAAAATTATACCTACAATAGATTATAATAATACCAACCAACGGTACCATTTACTTGCTCCTCAATATAGGATGTTCACCTTGCTAACTAATACGAACAAACCAATAACGACATAATATGCAGCGCCATCTATAGACTTATTTAAATATTTTTAGGGTTCCGTACCTCCAAAGAAAAAAACAGAACCCTTATTATAGGTCACTTATCACTTCGTTGTTCGTCCGTCCGTCTGTCAAGACCCTTTTTCGTAGGAAGGCGTGAAGGTATCAAGTCGAAATTAATATCATATACTCAGGTCTGTAATCTCTTAAGCAGTGAAAAAAAAAACAAGCTTCTAAATCGACGCTATCAAAAGATACGGCTGTTTATGTTCCATTTATATCACATACTTTGATATTCCCAAAGGGAATCAAAACCTACAGGGTACTTCCCGTAAACTCAGAATCTTGAAATTTGGCATGAAGCAATGTTATATAGCATAAGTAACGGAAACAATCCGAAAATCGTAAATTTGTAGTTATTTCCCAAAAAAAAATTAAACTTGATGATTTTGCACGGAACCTTCTTTGCGCGAATCCGACTCGCACTTGACCGGCTTTTTTTTTAATTGTTACCTCTCGCCATTGGCAAGAAATACAGCCTTACACCTTAGAACTAAAATGGTCACTTACAATGCGGTTTCAGAGGAGCTTCCTCCCACGAACGCTCAGATTGTGGAAAGATCTTCCTGCTCAGGTTTCTTAAAGATCGATAACGCATGCGTGACACCCGTGGTGTTACAGGCGTGCATAGGCTACGGTAACCCCGTTTACAACTCAGACGGGCCGTATGCTTGCATGCCACAAGTTGTATAAAAAACCAATATCACTATTTATACTGAAGTATCAACGCAGTGAGGGATTTTAGTCCGCTGCACACAATATTCCCTGCTCTGTAATTTAGAAGTTTGTCACGAACTTTTTAAACGACTTCCAAAAAGTGGAGTTTCAGTTCGTTCGATTTTTTGTTGTATGTTACGCGATTATGTATGCAATTGTGAACCGATTCAGTAAGGGTGTATAATGTACCCTGTAAATTCACTGCCATATCCCGTCCTTCAAACCAAAACACAGCCGTGCAAACATAACTGCTTCACGCTAGAAACACGAATAGGATAGAGGTGCCCAAGCAAACGACTTTTGTACAAAGTCTCCCACTGGTAAACTCCTCTGATCTTTTATGGAGCAACACCATGTATATTGCAATAAAATCTACTTGTAGACACTTTATTCTGCATTCTAAATTCAAATGGTTTAAATCCAATATTTCTACGAAACATTTTGCCATCCGTCGATGCGTTTTACTCGTTTTAAAATAAGAATATATTGAAATTATTAATCAATGTGAAATTAACAATCCCTGTTTTTTTTTAAAGCAATGTCATGCATATCGCAGCAAAATCTACTTATAGACAAACTATTCCGCATTCTAAATTCAAAATCTAATATTTCTACCGAACATCTTGTCGTTTATCGGCGGATTTTATTAGTTTTAAAATAATGAGATTATTTACATTAATTTTGTCACGATTGAAGTCACTGTTTTTTTTTTTTTTTTTTGCAGAGCATAGTCTACTAAATTATCTATAACGAATAATGCAAATCGTGATGGGTATCTGAATAAATTAATTTATTTTTGAAATTCTTATTTATTTTATTCTAATACTAGCCAGCCGCCCCGGTTACGGTCTGTTTTTTTTTTTTCTTTTTAAAATCAATTGCAACACGTTACCTGCTAATATTATAATATAGGTTTCTATAGGTTAAAGAATTAAAATCGATTATGTATTTTATGAGTTTACCCATTACAAACAAATCTTTCGTTTGGATTAATTTTATCTATTATAAAATTTTTAGAATGCTTAATATATATATAATCTTGCTTAAAATGTCCGCTGTGCAACTGATTAGATATATACGTATTTGTAAAAATTATATAATTAATTTTACTTACATATATATAATTGTATATGTAATTATATATAGATATATATATATGATTATATCGTCTAGTGATGTCAATAACACGTCAGTTAGATTAGTAAACTTGTGTGTGTGTGTGTGTGTGTGTGTTGTGTGTGCGTGAGGCAAACATCGTCGTATTCTACGTCACTTTGTTGACTTATCCGTGTTTTGATCCGACATTATCAATATTTATAATGAAATTAACATTAGCTATGAACAGAACTGAATTGAGTCATGTTGACAGTGCAAGTTTCAAGCCCCCTATCTCCTTACGTAGTTAGACTAGGTGTAAGTTTTTTAACTCTAAATCAACATATTAAAAAAAAAAACGGTTCACGTTTCGTTTATTATATTTCCTTCTCGGTTGATGGGGAACAAAATCGTCTCGTAGATACACGATTCGGTGTTCTAAATTCAAATATTTTCAATTTAATTTATCTACGGTACATCGTGACGTTTATCGACGGATTTCATTAGAATATTAATGTCAGTACTTACTATTTAAGAACGACATGTAAAGTCTCACACACAAGCCCAAGAGGTCTAAGTGGTACAATTTTTTTTTTAAGTTTTTCTATGTATTTGCGTGCTAATAAAATAAATAATAATAATAATATTTCATATTATAATTCGTTTTAAAATAAGAACAGTGTGATTACTAGTTGATATCAATTTTGTCACGATAAAAGTGGCAATTTTTGTCTTTGAAAGTACTTATAAATACGCATTACGCGTTCTAAATTCAAATATTTTTAACATATTATATACCTCCGAGTCATTTAGTCTTTTATCGATATCTCCTAACTGAAGTCGCTCTTTTTTTATTTTCCGGAGTAACATTCGTTTACAATGTAATTTTAAGCTATTGTGTTATCGTATACTCAATGATAAATGATTTTATAATAATTTATTTTATTTGTTAAACTTTAATACACCTAGATAGTGGAAATGGCGAACTTGACACCATATGCCGTTGTCTACCAGTCGACCATAGACAGGAATAACACAAAATTGATAGTGCAACTTGATGAGCAAATAATTAGAAAAACAAAAACAATATTAATATAAAACATTTATAAATAACATACATGTACCATGACCGTCTGGTCCCGATATAGAATAGGCCACCCCTTCCATTCCCGTGGGTGTCGTAAATCCGATTAAGAGAAAGCGAGGAATGGGCAGCAGCGTCCCTCTTTAAACATCTCTAAGGCCTGACTGCGGTTACCAATTCGCCTGCCAAGCGTGGCAACTACTGGCAAAATCCTCCAAGGGGAGGCTTATGTTCAGCAGTGGACAGTTAAAGGCTGAGATGATGATGATGATGATACATTCTACTTTTAATTTAAGAGTTTCCTCTTGTCGGTGCAACTCATTCATTCCTCTTCTTCCAGTCAGCTCTATCGCAGGCCATATCCTTGACCTTCCTATACGACATTTTTTTTTTACAACACAGGGGGCAAACGAGCATGCGGCTCACCTGATGGTAAGTGACTACCGCCGCCCATGGTCACCCACAACACCTACGGCATTGCAGGTGTGCTGCCGGCCTTTTAAAAAGGAATATGCTCTTTTCTTGAAGGTTATGACACCTAGTGTTTCTTTTATCTGTCCTATGTAGTTATTCCTCGGTCATACATGGTGATATATGTTATATTATCTACGTTTATATATATAAGGGAAATACCAGCATCAGACAAAGCAAAACGTCTCAAACATATTACAATTCAAAGGATTCTAAATAAAAACAAGGTATTCTAGTTTATGCTGGAATGCTAATTAATACAAATCATAATGTTTATTAATATATTTATTCTATTTCACAGCCGGCTGTGGGCCCGCTGGGCGCGGTCAGCAAAATCCACAAGTCGGACCGCAAGATTGGCCACCGACGCGTCGGCGAGGGCGGCGAGATCACGTATAAGAAGATCCAGTCCTCGCAGATCATGGGCTCCATACAGCTCGGTATGGTGTTTTATTTATTTATTTACTTATAAATTGTTCACTTCACTTACAGTTTCCCAAAACGTGTAGTGAGCCATAAGTTTATGTTAAAAATTGTAAACAACATTTTGAAAATCACATACTAGCTCTTTGCCGTCTACTTCGAATGCATGGATTTTAGAAGTAGGCAAACCAATGAGCAAACACAACTGCTTCATGGTTTTATGAATAAATAAATAAATTACATCACTAATTCTATATCGAAATATATTTTAGCTAATTGCTCTCCAGCGAACAATACTAATGAGCAGTTGCTATGTAGGTCCCAGCGTAGAATAGGCCACTCCTTCCTTTTGGGGGTGAGGTTCAGTCCCATTGTTAGCAATGTATCCTGGCAGGTTAACCTCCACGTGGTTCCCCTTGGAAACCATCTGTTCTGAATTCCAGGTATTTATCACGATAGGCTAACTGATCTGCCTTTTCATTCCCACCTATCATCTCTCACTGGTCACCCGCCACCGTATACCGTTAGCGCGGGCGGGGTTGTCATTTCATTATCGTCCATTAAAAAAACTTCCATTCCCGTGGGTGTCGTAAAAGGCGACTAAACGAACTTAATGATCGAGGATAGACTGCAACGTTTCTCTTCAAACATCACCAAAAGCTAAACTGCGGTTGCTAATCCGCCTGCCAAGCGTGGCAACTACTACCAAACCCACTTTTATATAGGCGGAAAAGGGATTGTTAGTAATGGAGTCTGAGAATCCCATTGCTAGCAATATACCCAATCAGGTCGACCTCCTCGCGGTTCCCCTTGGAAACTGTTATGTTTATTTCCTGATGAATTCATCATGATGGGCTAACTGGCCTGTTTTCGTTCTCATCTATCACCCTTCACTGGTGCTCCGCCAGCGTATTCCGTTTGCGCAGGCGGGGTTACCATACCATTTTCACCCATAAAAAAACGACCCCCTCTTATAAGGAGAGGTCTATATTCAGCAGCGAACAGTTAACGGCTGTCATGATGAAAGGGATGTAATATTATGAATGGAATACAGCACGAAAATAATTGTAACCACATCTCTCTCTCTTCGTCCTCTTCATTACTGAAGGTCGTGTCCTTGAAAGGTGTCTGTTGCCTCTCTTATGATGTTACTCCATTTTGCACGGTCTTCAGCCTCTCGCAGGGCAGCTGCAATTGACAGTCCCGTAACGGCGATTATTTGGTCCGACCATCGATTAGGCGATCGTCCGCGTGGTCTTTTTCCCTCTATCTTGCCTACAACTATTAGTTTGTCCAGATTGTCGGACTGTCGTCGAGCAACATGACCGAAGTATCCAAGAATCCTCCGATAGCAGACTGTCGAGAGCCTATCTTTTATGCGGAGTTGCGTCAGGATAGATATTCTATATATATTAGTTTGGTAGTAGTAGAATAATGAAATGATAAATGCCTGTCCGCGCTAACGGTATACGCTGGCGGGGCACCAGTGAGAGATGATAGATGGAAATGAAAAGGCAGATCAGTTAGCCTATCGTGATAAATACCTGGAATTCAGCACAATGGTTTCCAAGGGGAACCACGTGGAGGTTAACCTGCCAGGATACATTGCTAGCAATGGGACTGATAGATATTCGTGCGCTTTGCTGTCCAGGGAATTCTCAGCATCCTTAGCCAGCACCACATCTCGAGAGCATCGATCTTTTTTCGCTGTAACCATATATACGATGGGAAATACTATATGCCATCTGCCAACCCATGTCATAGAAATATTGGAGAAAAATATTTATGGGCGCCAGTGGTATCCTTATCAATAACACGCGCTGATAGCCGTGACCAATGTGCAACAATAGGTCAAATATAAAAAGGAAATATGCTCACGACAATAATCACTAATGGGGTTTTTTTATGGGTGAAAATGGAATGGTAACCCCGCTGCGCTAACGGGTTACTCTGGCGGAGCACCAGTGAAGGGTGATAGATGTGAATGAAAACACGTCAGTTAGTCCATCATGATGAATTCGTCAAGAATTAACCATGATAGTTTCCAGGGAGAACCGTGAGGAGGTCGACCTGGTTGGGTACATTGCTAGCAATGGGATTCTTAGTCTCCATTACTAACAATCCCTGTCCCCCATCACTAATGGGGTAGTCAGTAGTTTAGTTAATTTTCTAACTACTCAACCGATTTTAATAAAATGTCTTATAACATGAAAATAATACTTTTGAATGGCGAACGTCCTTTGTTTTTAATTAATTGGATTTTTTTTTAATTCTGACAAAACCAGTCATTTTGATCTAAAAACTAAACTATTGAATTGATTTTTATAATATTTCTATAGAATCCATCTGTAAATATATAATTTTAGAGAAAAAAAAAATTTCCAAATGTGTTTACAATTGACGGAGTTATGAGGTGATAAAGAAAGAAAGAAAGAATTTAATCGAAGAAGCATGCGGCCCACACAGTAGCGCACAAAACAAGATCAAAAGAAACCAAAACAAAACAAACAAAAGAAAATAATAATTATATACAAATAGAAAGCAATTAAATTATAATAATTATCAATAAACAAACAAACAAACAGTAGGATAACTCTTGAATCCAACATCGATCTCAATCGAATAAAAAAAATGTAACCGAATTGATCGCCTTCTTCTTTTTGAAGTCAGTTGATAAGACGATATTTCATCGCGATCTGCGAACCGAGTCGGCTACAAATCAACGTTGTTCCCATATGTTGCAAATAAACCAATTAAACTTAGTTCTGTAGATGTGCAATGTTTCAAATTAGCTTATGTTAACTTGTAGACACATAGAAATGTAGACATGCATGTGGATACTCGTAGACAGTATACTCTGTTATGTTCATGGTATTTTATTTTTTTTTTATGGGTGAAAATGGTATGGTAGCCCCGCCTGCGCTAACGGGATATGCTGGCGGAGCACCAGTGAAGGGTGATAGATGAGAATGAAAACAGGCCAGTTAGCCCATCATGACGAACGAATCAGGAATTAACCATGATAGTTTCGAGGGGGAACCGCGAGGAGGTCGACCTGGGTATATTGCTAGCAATGGGATTCTCAGTCTCCATTACTAACAATCCCTTTCCCCCCAAGTTCATGGTACTGCTCATGTCTATAGGCGACAGCTAAAGATACCGAAAATACAGTCTGTTTCAATAGTACCGAATGAAATTGTATACAAATGGATTAAAATAACTGGTTTTGTCATGATTGAAGTCAGTTTGGGGGGGGGGGGGGGGCACAATCTTTAATCCTTAAGTTCTATTGTAACAGATTTTAGAGATATAATACAAGTTTCGAAATTAGTATACTTTCTGTACTGACACACGAAGGCAAAGCAGCGGGAATCAACTAGTATCTCCTATGTACAGATATCGTCTGCTTACAGTTGTTATGTGTGTAGGTGTATTAATAATCCAGCCGCTAAGCCCTCGTATCCATGTTACATTCGCACCGTCGCTTTGTTCGTGTCCAGTCTACGATTGTTCGATATCTATGTCTACATGTATTCGTATATAGTTAGTTACTCCAGTGACCCAGATCGCGTGTTTAGCATTGCTGTACTGTTACATTTGTCTAAGCAAGGCCGGGTTGTGTTGTAGTGAAATGTCTAGTTGGAATGGTCATCGTTTCTCAGTCCATCGCTGGATAATTTATTTCTTAAAGAACTTCCAAAAAGAGGAGGCTGTCAAGTTGTATTGTATTGTAAAATCTTTATTGTACATAATTCATACTAAATACATTAAAGGATTTAATATACAATGGCGGATTTATCCCATAAAGGGATCTCTTGCAGTCAACCTTTGAGAAGCTGAAAGAAAACTGTAGAATGTACAAAGGTAATAACCGTATAGATAAACTAAATAATACCTAGTAAAAAAATTTAATATATCTATACCTATAATAAATTTGTAGAGAGGTCAATTCTGTACATGAAATATATTTCCAAAATAACTATCAGGCGGTGATTAGTAATCGATACTGATGCCAAAAATGCAATCAGTAAAATTTTTGTCTGCCTGTCTGTATGTTCGTTATAGAAATAAAAACTATTCGACGGATTTTAACGAAACTTGGTACAATTATTCTTCATACTCCTGGGCAGGTTATAGTATACTTTTCATCACACTACGATCAATAGGAGCAGAGCAGTGAAGGGAAATGTTGGGCAAACGGGAGAAGTTTCTCCATTTTGAAGCTTCCGTCGCGTATGCAGCCTTAATGGCCACTTTTTAAAATGTAAAAATGTCCACCCGTGCGACGCCGGGACGGGCCACTAGTAATATAATAAAAACAACTGTATACACCTACATATACTATACAAGTTGTTTGTATTTGTTACAAGCTTTTGATTGGCTTCATCGTCAGATCAACCGTTCTCTGTCCACTGTTGGACAAAGACCTCCCCTATATGGTGGGCTTGCTAGTAGTTGCCACGCTTGATAAGCAGGTTGACAACTGCAGTTTTTTTTTAATGAATAATAATAAAATAGTAACCCCGCCTGCGCTATCGGTATACACTGGCGGGGCACCAGTGAGGGATGATAGGTGAGGATGAAAAGACAGGTCAGTTGGCCTATTGTGAATAATTCAATTGTAAATTAGTTACGATAGTTTCTAGGGGGACCGCGTGGAGGTCGACCCGATAGGATATATTGATAGCAATAGGGACTAACCTCCCCATTATTAACAATCCCTTCCCCCCTTGACAACTGCAGTTAGACACTGATGTTTTAAGAAGGTCACTGCTGCCCATCCCTCTATCATTAAGTTCCCTTAGTCGCCTCTTACGACACCTACGAGAAAGGAAGGGGTGGCCAATTCTATGCCTAAATTACATAGCTTAAGCATAATAAGCAAGTAGAATAAAATTAAGCTACAGACTATCAATTTCGTCACGATTGAAGTAACTTTTTTTTTAAGAATTGCATTAAAAATATTCAACATTATTTTTTTTCGATTAATGTTTTTTTTTGTAAATCAAAATCCACCTCTGATGTGTGCTTTGTAATTTACAAATCCAGGAACAATGATTCACTATGAATGATTCGATATCGCATATTCATAGGATACAAATGTTGTTGTCGTAATTTTAATGACACAGAAGTTAAAAATGACGCCGAATATCTGTCTGTAGTGATATTGTATTATATTAATTTTTAAGTACTTAATCTCGATTATCCGAATATTCGATTATCCGGACTTATTCTTAACTGCTCTAATTACCGAACTTAGAAATGGTATTATGTATTAAATGGGTAAATAATAATAATAATAAAATTATTTATTCAGCTACAAAACATAATATTAATGACAACTATATACATTAAAATAATAATAGCAGCTGAAATGGTCTCCACTCAGCTTAAGCTGTAGCGTGGCGCTGCAGCGCTGATTTTCAGTGGGGCCACCACTCGATAGGTAGCACTCGAGAAACAGGATTATGTAATCCATTATCTTTATAGCTCGTGATTTTTTTTTTTATATCTTGTCTTCTAAATGACGTATGTGAACCCTTTATATAATAAAAAATATTCAAATTTAATTATTTTTTGATATAATTTTGAAATCGATTATCCGGATTTCGATTATACGGAAATTCCCCTAATTTTACTTGTTTCGGATAATTGAGATTCTTCTGTATTTAGGTATAGACCGTCCAAGGTTCTGTTCCTCGGAAAATTTATTTTTATTTTATTTTACTATATTGCCTGAATGAGGCTATCAACCGTTATGTGAATGTCGTTTATCTATGGTCTAAATATATTTAGGCTTCTCCCGAAAATTAACTGGAATAAATCTTTTGAGGGCGAAGCAAGAAACTGAGTTATGACCATTTTGCGTTACTGTGGCACACGCGCGGAAGGAAAAATTATGTTACCTCTTTTATGCAATTTTCTTTCCCTTTTTTTATATGTATTCTTTTATCTTTCTTTGTTATTGTGTATGTCTATCCATATGTATTGTTATTTGTGTGCTGTGCGTATTGCAAATAAATTATATATCTATAATAAAGATTTTACAAATATCATATAAGCACCAAATGTTAATGTTATCTTAAAAATAAAGTAATTAAGTAAAAATTAAATAGGTCCTTTTCAATTTGACTGTACATTTTGTTTGTGTGTTTCACGATACCTTCGTCAAATGAATTTTATTTTAAATAACTTCATAATTAAAAATTGTGTCCCACAAAAAAGCAACTTCAATTGTGATAAAACAACTTACATATTTTAATGTGTGACGCAAAAAATTTACGTATAAATCTGTCTATTGTCTTGTTGTCTGCTACTTTGCATTTATCTTATAAAGTTAATGTTTTATTACCTTATCGAGCAATAACTGTTCGATCATTAATGATCTAGCTAAATAACTAGAATTTAATATTTAGTTTAGTTATGAGTCATCGACTATGAATGATTTCGATGTGAAAAAATGATTATGCGATGCATAAGGTCAAGGTGGAAATGATGCGGTTTCATTCTGTAATGTATAAGCATGTATTATTTATTTATTTAAATTTCAATGCACAGCAAAATTCTATGTACATATGGCGGACTTAACACCGTACGGTGTTCTCTACCAGTCAACCATTGGGCCGAGATCTATTTATTTATTTTATTTATTTAACACTTTATTGCACTAACATTACAGGATTTGTTGAACAATTTTCGATTTTCGAACAATATGTAGACGGTGCATTATTAAATCAATGCAATCGATTTTATTAGCCGTCGGTAGTGCTACAATACACTGAAAACTATTTTCAGGTTTAGCGTACACTATGAATTAATATTGCGTACATTCTATTATAGGAGTTCACAGTTCAAGGGCGCAGCATTGGTACATTTTCACTACGTTTTCCTACTCATAATAAATAAATCGCGTATTTCGATACCTGAATAAGTGACGACGGTAGTTAATTTTCCTTAGTGATATACAAACATCATTAAATGTTGTTCCAAATTTAAAATTTTAATTTTTTTTTTAAACTACTGTTTGCTTTGCAAAATAACAAATGGCTTCAAACGTAACAAAACATCAATAAACAACGAGGTGTCACGTAGACGTATTTGATTGTAAATATTTGAATCTAAGAACAAGGAATTACATAGAAGGAATGATAAAATAAAAACTGTAAATCATATGGTTGTCTCCTGTCTTCTTATACAAATATAATTAGTAAAAAGAGGACGAAAGATACACCAGTCAGTTGCTAATTTTCTCAATTCATAGCAGGCTAGTGCATAGAAAATATGTATTTAAAATGTTTGTGCATATTGATATTGTCAATTATTTGTTAATAACAAATTTTACCAAAGGGGGACTTTGTACAAAAGTCGATTGCTTGGGTATCTCTGTCCCATTCATGTTTCAACCGTGAAGTAGTTGTGTTTGCATGGCTGTGTTTCGGTTTGAAGGGTGGGATATGGCGTGAATTTACTGGATACAGAGGAATAATACCTGAGTCCTCAGGAATGGCAGCGCATGGGGTATCATGGGCGAAACAGTATACTCTGTTATATCCATGGTACTGCTCATGTCTATAGGCGACGGTTACCACTTTCCATCAGGTGGACCGTCAGCTTGTTTGCCATTCTAAGTTGTATAAAAAAAAATTACATTACTAGATTATATATTCGACACAGTTTATGTAGAAAGTATGCAAGCAATTGTATCTTTGGTAGGGTTATACGGCCAGTAAAACCAAGTGACATATCTCCATGAATTTGACTTTTACGGACTAGTCAAAAGGCAGATGCGTTTTTATATGTCTATCCTTCTCTATTGCATTGGCAATGTCATAAATACAATGAGCAACACTATGTGAATTATGCATCCCATCTATTCTATTCCGAAATCTTTGATTTGAATCTAGAATTCCGCGTTCTAAAGTTTGAATTTTTTTCTGGCTATGTTACACTATTACGTGGCCAGTTGTAAATCGATTTTTTTGCAATGATGGGATAAAATTTCTCCCATTCTAATTTTATCACGAATTGCTGATCCTTTTTGCTGTAAAGTATATAGGCTTTATCAGTTTGATTCTGCTCTGGATAATATTAGTAAAGTATTGTTATATACAAATTGGCGCGCAAATTTACTGTGAACTGATAATAATGGTGCGACCTTCTGTTCGTATCAGTCGCTTCCTCTGAACCGTAAATATGTAACCATAGTACCACAATGTGTAAATTGTTTCATACAGAACATGAAGTAATCAGCAGGAATATTATCAAAAACTAGCTGTTTGCCACGGCATCGCCCGCGTGACTTGTTATCTCTCATTCCCGTGATATATACTTTGGAAGTTCTTGTTAGTGGATGACCAAATCATAGAAATCAGGAATTAAGAGCCCTACTTAGAAATAGCAAACACGAATGTTCGATTCCGAATGATACTCGATTGATCGTGTAAACTTTACTCCGCAGAAATATCGATTTGTAATCTCAGTGTTCTTATTTTAACGAATGAAACACACCGATGAGCGACGAGATGTTTCGTCGAGACATTAAATTTAAAATATTTGAATTTAGAACGCAGAATTGTACGTTTTAAATTTAAATTTGAAATTAAACAAGGAATCCGGAACAACACCGTAACGTATTAAGACCTACCTGGTTAGGAATTGTCATTTAAAGTCTGTTTAAAATTGGTATTAACGATATAACGTGACATACACACAAAAATAATACAGACAAAATAAGAACTTCAGTTTAATAAGTGCTTACAATTAAGCATATTTAAATGAACATTTATATTTTTACTAGCTTTACCTACGACTTGGTCCGCGTGACCGCAGTTTGTTTACTGATCGGTATAAAAAGTCGCCTATATCCTTCTCCATGCCATATAGTACATACCAAATTTCATAGTGATTAGTTAAGGCGTTATAAGGTGACAAACTCACTCTTACATTTATTAGTAAGGATTGTTTATCCACCAGGAATCCAACACGCGATCGGCGGTCTCGCGTCTAAGCCGGAACGCGATCTGCTCATGCAGGACTTCATGACAGTGGAGACGACGAACTTCCCCCACGAGGGGTCCAACCACACGCCCGCCCACCACTACTCAGAGTTCAAGTTCAAAACGTACGCGCCGATTGCGTTCAGATACTTCCGCGATCTATTCGGCATACAGCCGGACGATTTCTTGGTGAGTTGCTTTTTATTATTGTTTAACGCCATCTAGTTCTATAAGCAGATATTAAAGCATAACATCTTCTGATATATTTTCCGTATATATATCCTTCGAGATAAAAAAGGATTTTCCACATCTGTTTAGAACTGACAGAGTTATATGGTAACAAATAAAAAAAAATACAATCAAATAGGGAATATCCTTTTTTTGTAGTTGGTTGTTAAAGTGAATGTACAAAAGCATATAAATAAATAAATAAATAATTTCAGATGTCAATGTGCAGCGCGCCACTCAGGGAGCTTAGCAACCCTGGCGCCTCCGGCAGCATATTCTACCTGACCAACGACGACGAGTTCATCATAAAGACGGTGCAGCACAAAGAGGGGGAGTTTCTGCAGAAACTGCTACCAGGATACTACTTGAATCTCGACCAGGTAAGATTGGCCTGATTAAAATTTTAGTAATAATAATAATAATAACAATAAAGAGTTAGCTCTGAAATACGGCCTCGCGAATGAGAGGTTGCCTTACTATAAGTACGAGCCCCAGCCGATCCTCGAAAGCGACAGCGTCAGGCTCTACTGGGACCGATCCATCATCACGGACAGGACATTTCTTGCGAACAAATCTGATATTGTGGTAATGGATCGGGCACTCTTGATGGTGTTTTTGGTAGATGACATCATACCGAATCACGAGAACTTGGCGAAAACCGAAACTGAGAAAATATCTCGTCTTAGCCCACGATGTAACCGAAATGTGGGGGTAGCGTCGACCAAAATTATTCCAATCGTTCTGTCGGTGAACGGTCTTATCCCAACTAGTCTGGAACAACATCTTAGACGGTTGGAATTCTACGGCGGCTCACTTCCGGAAAAGATGCAGAAAACAGTGCTCTTAAATATTGCCCGCATAGTACGCCGGTTTGTCTCCCTGGGCCCTGGACCCTGGCCGACTGTGCTTTTGCCGGGGGTTAATTTGCCATCTCCCCTCCTTAAGAGGGGAGATGTGAATATTGTGAAAATTAATAATAATAATAAAATCATTTATTCAGCTACAAAACATAACAATATTAATGACAATGTTATACATTAAAATAAAATTCCGCGGTAGCCGCTGAAATGGTCCCCACTCAGTTTAAGCTGCAGCGTGGTGCTGCAGCGCTTATTTTCAGTGGGGCCATCACTTGGTAGGTAGTAGGTCATTTTGTACCAATTTTATTGCTTGTACAGGTTTTTTTATGCAATTTATAATAACAAGCTGACGGCCCACCTCTCGGAAAGTGGTAACCGTCGCCTATACACACGAGCAGTATCATGAACATAACAGAGTATACTGTTTCGCCCATGATACCCCCCCATCCCTTGCCAGTCCTGAGAACTCAGGTGTAATTCCTCTGTACCCTGTAATTTCACTACCATATCCTTCCCTTCAAACCGAAACATAGCCATGCAAACACAACTGCTTCACAGTAAAAACACGAATGGGACAGAGGTACACAAGCAAACAATTTTTGTATAAAGCTTAGTATGAAGTGCCCTTACTAATAATATAATCTGTGATAGGTAATCTGGTGCATTACGTATCATCTAAAATCTTTGTTTCTTTTTTATACCACAAAGGTAGCAAACAAGCATACACCCCGGCTGATGGTAAACGGCCACGTCTATGACGCGTGCAACGCGTGGGAGGTCAGGTGCGCGTTGACGACCCTGAAGAAACCTTAATAAACCCTTTTTAAAGAATCCTTTACTGTAGGCTCTAGGGAAAACCTCGGCAGAGAGCTCATTCCACATCCTGAGCGTTTGCGACAGAAAATTCCTTTGACGGTTTCAAATCACTGTACGTAGCCATTTAGGTTTAAGCGTGTGAGCATGAATTCCCAGTTGGCAAGCGATGATAAAAGGAGGCCGTGGGCATCAGTATTTCGGAATAGCGATTCCCATATAAAATGACCTATTTTTTCGATTTTTCAACCGAACTTTAAGGTATCTCATACCTCTTTTTATCTTTTAACATACAAAATAAAAAAGTTGTCAATATAGGTCAATCCGTGTTTGTTTTCGGGAGCCGAAACGAACAGCAATTGGTTTTTATGTACTCGTATGTAGAAGACTGGGCATTACCGTGTTTCCGGCATAGAATAGGCTACCCCTTCCTTTCCCGTCAGTGTCGAAAGAGGCAACTAAGGGATGGCCAGCAGCGTCCCTTTTAAAACATCTCCAAAGCCTAACTACGGTTGCCAAGCGTGGCGACTACTGGAAAAACCCACCAAGGAGGCTTATTGTTCAGCAGTGTACAGTTCAAGGCTGATATGATGATATAGAAGGCTGGCGTTAAGCCCGTTATTATGTCTGTTACTCTCGGATAATCAAATGGCTTCAAAAATTTCAATTCGGGTGTATTTTTTTTTAATGTTTGTTACGTTGTAACTCCGTCAGTTCTAAACCAATTTGGAGAATTCTTTTTTTATCTGAAAGGATATACTTACAGATTGGTCCCAAATTGGTCCCCTGCTGACTTTGTCAAGGTTGAAGTTGCTATTTTACTTTGTAGAAGAAAAAACTGTCTGTTGCGAAACAAAATTTATAGTAGATACGTTATAGGAAACATTTAGTCGTGTTCCCGAAAATGTTTACGCTGTTTGTTTTTTTTTTTTCTTTTTTGATGGATGAAAATGTTATGGTAATCCCGCCTGCGCTAACGGGATACGCTGGCGGGGCACCAGTGAAGTATGATAGATGAAAATGAAAACAGGCCAGTTAGCCCATCATGATGAATTCATCAGGAATTAACCATGATAGTTTCCAGGGGGAACCGCGAGAAGGTCGACATGGTTGGGTATATTGCTAGCAATGGGATTCTCAGTCTCCATTACTAACAATCCCTTTATTCCCTTACGCTGTTTGTTAGTAGACCCAGCACCATAGAACAACTGGACTGATTTTACTACTTTTCAACCAACTTCAATGAGAAGGAGGTTCTGAGTTAGGTGGTTTTGTTATGTTTGTTACCTCATAACTCTGTCATTTGTTTTTTCTGATAAAAAACAGGGTTTATTTGCCACAATTGAAGTTGTTTTTTTTTTTTTTTGGAACACAACCTTATTGCGTTTTTTTTTAAATCGTATATCGTGAAATAAATTTTTGAATTATTCGTACACAAAAAGAGATCGAAATCATTAGTAGTTCTGGTATTGCAGTGTGGTCCCGGCATAGAATGGGCCACCCCCTCCTCTCCCGTAGGTATCTTGAAAAGTGACTGAAGGAATTCAGTGTGTGATTTGAATGAAATATAATTTACAGGTTGGTTTATGTCTTAATGTATATACGTGTGTATTAAAGGGGGGCCGGATGGGCCATACCCACACTTGGATTGTCTTATACCCACCCTAAGATACAAGTGACGCTAGTCAATGATATGTCTAAAAATACATATAGGTCTTTTCTAAGGAGCCAGAGCTACCATGGAAAATGGTTTTAAATACACCAATAGATTTTTTACCATTAAGGTGGCAAACAAGCATACGGCCCATCTGATGATAAGCGGTTACCATAGCCTATGAACGCCTGCGATTACATTACGCTCTCATTTCTGACCCAGAACATACTTTCATTCTTTGACATACTTTATTATGCTGAATCAGGTGGACAAAGCCGCGGGAATCAGCTAGTACTATATATTATGTGTGCATTTCTAGGTGAGCGTATTGGGAGGTTGTAAAGCTCACCCAGTTGATAAAATACATAAATATATAAATAAATAAATTATTCTTGTGATATATTTAGAGTATTAATAGATATATTAGGCTGGATACAGATATATGCGGCACTCCCGCTCCGCGCCACTACCGCAGGCCGGTGTGACGCGGCCAGCTAGCGACCGACTCTCGGCCGAGGCTCAGTCCAACCAGGTAGACGCGCCTGTTGACCACATAGCCGTCACGCGGATTACAACGCACCGTTAGTAAAATATCGACGTGACACGGACAACGGAAAAAATTGTTGAACTACCCACCTAAACAAAAAAAAAATATATGAAAAATACAGACATCTCTTATGGCATCCCATAAAAGACTGTTTCTGTATATCTAGTTCCAATTTTGACAATGTCCCTTAAAAAGGCATTATTTTTAAATTACTTGTGAAATCTTTTTATTTTATGTGGGTAATTTGCAATTTTTTTTTGTTTAATCGATATTTTATTAAGAGTGCGTCGGGGTGAAATGAAATCGTTAGCTAATACCGTTTTAATGGAGCTCTCTACCAGTGAAATTGGTAAAAATTAAAATTGAAAAAAAAAACTAAAATGTGACGAAAATTTCGAGTCGTAAAATTTTCTTCCATACTTGACAGCTTTTCTTTATTGTCATTTTTGAACGGGAGAAAATTTATAGTCGTTTTTCGAGAAATTCGTTTTGAAAAATGTCAAGTTTCACTGTTAGAACGTTCCATTAAAATGACTATGTGCTATTTCAATTTTACGCTATATGTTTTGCATATTATATCAATGTAGACACGATGTAGACGGCACCTAGTTTAGTGCTTCTTTTCGTTTAATTCGACATATCTACATGTGGATTTTATATAAAAACAATTGTACAAAAATATAATAGGGAGTTTTCCGAGTTTAGTTCACCGACGTCACTTTGCATGATTGTTTATTGAGATTAGTGAGTCAATGTGCATTGACCCCACTGCACCCCCCACGTACCTAAACTTCATTACTGGGGGGAAAGGGATTGTTAGCAATTGAGTTCGACATTGCTAGCAATATCAGGTCGACCTCCACGCGATTCCCCCTGGAAACCATCGTGAACAATTCTTGTTGAATTCGTCACGTTGGACTAACTGACCTGCTTCATCCTCATTGATCATCCCTCAATGGTGCCCCGCCGGTGTATACCAATGGCGCGGGTGGGGTTACCATTCTATTATCGCCCATTAAAAAAAAAAAAACTTCATTACTAGCAGATAAGGCTCGGGCACACGGCGCCGTCGACGCGGTCGGCGGTCGGCGGTCGCGCGATCTTTTTGGCGATCAACAATATTATGTTATAAACAGCGAAATATTAATACAGTATGTTCGTTAATATTCAGAAAACTTGTATTAGTATTCATTAATAGGGTCTAAAAAAAACATTCCTAGAAAAAATTGTTATTGTCAAAAAGTAAAAAAAAAAAATATATACTCGAGAAAAAAAAACTGAGGCCTACCACGAAATGTTTTCCGATATTTCGGAGCCGAATGAAATATAAATTTGTTGTTAAAATTATAATATATAAATACATGCCATATTTTTATATTGAAATATAATTAATTTTCATCTTTCGCTTTGTTTACACATATTTTAAACGTCGGTAATAAAGAAGCAGGTATGTAGGTACTATTTTATCTGTAAACATCGCGTTAAGTCTTGATTATGTTTTTAAAA